TAAATCGTGCCTGCTTTGGCAGGACCAGTGCGGTGAGCAAGGTTCTTGCTACATTTACCAGAACTCAGCCATGAGCCGATACACCCTGATTGCTGGACTTGTCTACAAGGTGATGCCTATTGTTTCGTTTTGCGATAAAATAAACAGTACTGTAGGAGGCGGCATTTTGCATGGAGAGAGGATTTTGCAAAACTGTGTTTTGCAAATCTGCCCATAACACAAATTATACTGTAACGCAGGAAATGTTTTCACTAAAGGCAGAGCTCCATTTACTTCTTGTCGTGTAATGGTGCTTCAGGCACCATCATTCTCTTACGTTCTCATTATTTTCTGGGCTTACAGTTTTTGTTGCAGCATATGAAAAATCTCCTCTTCTCCTAACAATTACTGAAGTGACTTTTGCTAGGAATGGAATTAAATACACAACTGCAGCGTGTTAGTGAGAATGAGAGAGGCCATTGTAGGCAAGCTGTAAATAACCATTCCCCGATCACTGCTAGAAAATACAAGAGCTAAGCTGCAAGTTTCATATTTATTAGCTCAAAAGCACCGTTTTAACTGCTCCCAAACAAGCACTTGGCTTACAGAGCAGGGTTTAGCAGTTGCTGTGATAAAGAGACTTTCAAAATCCTTTGAGAAAATAGCTCTGGCAGTGTCAGTCCACTCTGTGCTGTGCTCCAGGCTGAACAGCCTGACAAATTCCCAATGTCTCATTGCTATGGAGCCCAATAATGTCAAATTTTTGCTGTATCCAGCCCTGCTCCCCGACTTACCCCGGTTTCACCCTTGTCTCCTCCCCCAAACCTCCTCAGCAAATCTCATCCCAAAAATGAGCAGCTGCCTCTGGACAAATTCACACCCTCAATTCGGAATTGTCTGCTGGTACCAAAAATACCAGACCGACCCTCTCTCAAATTTGGAGACCTCTGATTTCCATCCCTGGCAACTGCTTGGCTTGTGTTCAGTCCTGCGGCCAAGCAGGGCTGCACTGGGGTCTCCCCTCGTGCCAGCGGCTTGGGATGCTCGAGGGCACCGTGAGGTTTGATGTCTTGCTGGACCCACCGTGAGGTTTGATGTCTTGCTGCTGGGTTACAGCAGCTGAGGACTGGGCCCCGTTTGGGGAACGCAGCGGGGATGCTGGGCTCTCCTGAGAGCAAGCACTAACGGGACATCTTTGTGGCTGCAGGTGCTAGGAACCTCCTTCTTTATAGTCGCCTGTTTACTTTACAAACCGCCGCCAGCAGAATCCGCTCCGGGAAGCTCACGTGCATCTGAAAATGGCATCTGTGACCTCCAGGAAAACAAACCATCACTCCAGACTGAAGAGGATAAATAGCGCTATAAATGTGCAAGTGACCCTCTCTCAATCTCAAAAATACTACGACAAGACATTATTCGATTCCTAGGATTTTTTAATTAATAGTAATATTATTGCTTTTTTAGCTCAAGAAGGATAACTTAATTAACCACTGGTGTGCTTGCTATTTTCTTAACAGCAGAAGCACATTTAAAGTTGTGCGCTGATGCCATATATGATTATTTAATTTAACTTAAAGAAAGGGCTACTATAGCTTTATTCCATGTCTGTAACAAGTAAGGACCGCATTCTCCACTAGTGGAAATAGGCACTGGTAACTCCAATGGAGTGCACGTGGTTTAAACCACAAGAGGATCTGGGCCCCAATATCTGCATTGTAAATCCAACTGTAGCAAAGCTTGCATTGAGGCTTCTTAGGCTTGAAAAGAGACTTGCTGTCCTGCAATCTGCTTTGCAAAGAGGACAGCTAGCCCTTAAACTACTGTATGCAAAGCAGGCAGCCCAGACGGTGTCTTCTTTCTCCCCGTGACGCATCCAGCATTGCTTGCCAACCACGCCAGTGTGCTCCGGCTGTGCTGAGCTCTTCCGTTCAGTAGCAGAGCATCTAATTATGAGAGCTCATATTACTGTGTAACGGGAGATAGGTTTAAGATGGGATTTGTCTAGCAAATTCATCAGTACACTACAGGCAGCAACCCCTGAGTGCTGTCGAATACTGTACTTTCCCTGCCTGGTTTCACTTGCAGGATTTACGGCACGGTGGCACTTCATTTTTGTTGTTTTTTTTAAAGGTGATGCCTTTTGTAATGTACTGTACAAAACTTGAACTTATTTCTTGCCGTTGTTCATTGGATGCTTTGTTGTGGGGTGCAGGAACACGTCAGATACGGATCTATGCAAAGCTTCTCTTTGTTTGCTCTGTAAAGATGTTGTTTTTAGGTACACGTGAAAAAAACAGAATGGATTTAATTTTTTCTCTAGACTGCTAGCTTAAGGGAGAGCTTGCCGTAATGACAGACTTTATTGTGTGAAGTGAATGCTGGATTGTAACCGGCCCGTTCTTTGCAAATAGAGAGGGCAGTGTTCTCAAAATGGCCTTTGAACATGCACTTGCAATATTGAACACATGTCATTTCTAAGGGGTAAAGAACAGGATTTCAGTGTCTGACAGGCATACGT